AATAATAATAATAAAATTAAACTAATAAATAATATTAAATTAATCGGAACAAATTAATAATAAACCTCAAAACATTTTTTTATAGATTTGTTATATAATTTCTTATTATAAGAACCATCCAAATTTAATATTCAACTAGCTTATGTATCGTCTAAATTTATCAACAAAAAACATCCAAAATCATCATAACATGTTTAACGATCTTCAGTCTCCGAACGTTGGTCTTGAACAGTTAATGAAGATGAACTTGGAACTGATCGGCCGGATATAATTGACCTAACCATTTGTCGCAACCCCGCGACTTCATCCTTCATGAGAAAGAGCTCGGATTTGGTAGAAGCAAGTTCGGATTTGGTAGAAGCAAGCTCGGACTCGGTTGAAGCAAGTCTATTAGACATCTCGCTGTGGCTCAATCGACTTGACGCATCGGTGCTATGTCGCGAACTTGGAGAATCGCTCCTAGTGCTCGGGACCCTAGACCATCCCCGAATATATGCAGGTCTTTTACCTAAGACTTGTTGCATAATCTCTAGATCACCCGGAGGATTTTCTGTTGATTCACTTTGCCGCTTAATCTCTACCATGTTCTCCTATGAACATAAAAATCATATATATAAATCTTAGTAATTTATAAAACGATGAAGACATGCAAAAGAGTTCGTTAAACGTACCTTACATATGAAGTGCGAGAATAGTCATTAACCCAACCATCTTTTTCTCTATAATGCAACTTTCGGAAAGTCTCTATCTCACCGATAAGAAGATTGTCCGACAATCCTCTATTTCGAAAATGGTGATTCGGAGTGCTCACTGTACCGTTTAAAACAACATACTTTCGCTTCCCCCTATTCTCAGAATTTTTTCTTGACATAGCCTACAGAAACAAAATATGATTTATAATTGTTATATGCAAAAAACGAAATCAGATAGAAATTAACTGTATAACTGTTTACTCTTTACTTGAACAGTGGCCATTACAAATAGGCAGAAAAAGAACCAATTAGGCCGAATCTGAGTAAAAGACAGGTTCCTTATCAGGTTCCATATAGGCAGAAAAAGAACCAATCTTGCAATTAAGGTTCCATATAGGAAGCATATATGGCAGATCAATAGAGAAGCAAATTAGACGTATACCAAGATCCACATATGACCAGTAAGGACATAAGAGACCATTCAAGAAGAGATACAAAAAAAAAATGTTGAGCGTGATGGAAACATAGAGTGGACCAAACCAGAAAGTCTCACAGTGGTACTGAAAGTCATAATCATTTGCACAAAAGCCAATAGCAATACATACATCTGTAATCAAGTCATGCAAGCCTGTTTAGACACCCCCAATATGTGTAGACCCCAAAACAAGATGCTATAGACCAACATACCACATGGCATGGTGAATAAATACAACCTTTGGACACGATATACAATAAATGTATAAATGCCAATTGAAAAAGAAACATAATTAACAGTAGGATATACAATAAATGCTTACCAAGACATTTTCAAGATATAGAAAATAAACAACTTACATGAAACTTCTCCGAACTCCAGTAATCGCAAAGTATATGCCAAGCATCATCTGTAACGTTCGAGTCAGTTGGCTTCATTCCTTTGGCTCTTTCCACGTCCTCTTGGCCATGACATTTTAAAAAAAATGCTCCTGCAGCTTTGCTCGGTGATTTTTGAAGATCGACCCATTTGGAAGTCAATCACATCAACCACAATATTTGAAGACAAATCGACATCAAAATTTATCTATAAAATAAATACAAGAATGACACAAAATTTTGTTAAGGATAAGAACAAGAATGACACAATATTATAAATATAACTTGTGGTTATCTGCCACTAAAAGAGTACGACCACAAAGTCTTCTAAAAAAGTTGGACAATTCAGTTATAGCAACACGAGCATCCTTGCATAACAAACCTACAATTCCARTTGGCAAGAGATTTTGAAGCAAGATGTGAGAATCATGTGTTTTTAAGTTTKTCAACTTCCGATCAGATGTCACGCAACGTGAGATATTCGAAGCATATCCATCTGGCAATCGAATTGATTTTAAAAAATCAAGAAAACATATCTTCTCCTCTTGAGTGAACGTATAACTTGCATGAGGTTTCTTTAGAACACCAGAACTTGTCTTTTGTAACCATAAATCTTTTCGGATGCCTAGATCCTCCAAATCCATCCTTGCTTTGATCGTATCTTTAGATTTTTTTTCGGTCCCTAACAAGGTATAAATGATATTATCACACACATTTTTCTCAATRTGCATGACATCYAAGTTGTGTCGYARTTTTAACTTTGACCAATATTCTAGTTCGAAGAAAATACTACGAGTTGACCAATTACGCAAAGGATGCAACTCATGAAATTTCCTTTTCGTACCAGAATTGTTTGGTGCTTTCCCAGGAGTCATCAAAAGTAACCGGTCTAGTAACTGAATGATCTAATCACCAGATTTTGGCCTACTTGGTTCATTAAATTCAACGGAACCATCAAATTCTTTACTCATTCGCCATCGATGACTAGAAGGTAGCCACTTTCTCGACTCCATATAACATGTTTTGCTTCTGATACTACGAAAATGCGTGTTTTCTAAACATTCGGGGCATGCCAAGTGTCCTTTTGTGGAGTAACCAGACAAGTAAGCATATGCAGGAAAGTCTGATGTTGTCCACAATACAACAGCTTTAAGATTGAACATACCTCCATTAGTGGCATCATATGTTGTTACTCCAATCCACAAAGTCTTTAACTCGTCAATTAATGGCCGAATGAAAATGTCAAAATCTTTACCTGGGGATTTTGGACCTGGAATCAACAAACACATCATATAACTGGTTTGATGTATCATCTTCCAAGGAGGAAGATTCAATGCTTTTACCATTACAGGCCAAGTGCTATATAATGCACTCATATTCCCAAAGGGGTTGAAGCCATCTGATGTCAAACCCAGCCTTACATTCCTTGAATCTGTCGCAAAAGCAGGATAAGTCAAGTCAAAGTCTTTTCAAGCCTCACCATCAGCTGGATGACGTAACACACCATCTTCTGGCTTTCGTTCCTCGGCATGCCATCTCATATCTTCAGAAGTATGACGTGAACTATAAAGCCGTTGAAGTCTAGGTGTTAATGGAAAATATATCATCCTCTTAAAAGGAACCTTGTTCCTCTTGTATCGAGGATGATTACATACAGCACATGCAAGTAGGTTAGCATGTTCTCCATAAAACAGAGCACAATCATGATTACAAACATCAATATTATGATATCCCAGCCCAATCTCCATCAAGATTTTCATCATCTCATAGTATGATGTCGGAAGATTGTGGCCCGATGGGAGAATACTTTGTTCAAACTGTAACAACATGTTTATTGATTTATCAGACCACTTGTTCAAGACTTTGATGTGCATCAACTTCACTACATATTGTAGTAATGTCAGATTCCCTGATCCTGGATACATTTCCTTGTTAAGTTGCTCAATCAACTTGTCAAAACGACCACGGTTAACATCAGACTTATCCTCAACGTCATTTTCAGTTGAACGGTCAACATTAAAAAACAAGCGTCCTTCTTCATCCATAATAGCGTCCCTCAAAGTATCGTCATCTTCGTCATTATTCGACGAATCTTCAAAGTGGTCGTGTTCTTCTTCGTCACTAAGAGATTCACCACGATGGATCCACCTTTGGTATGTTGCAAGCATACCATATTGCAGGATATGAGCTCGAATCATGGGGAGTCGTTGTAGCCATGTGTTTTCACATCTATTACAAGGACATAACGTCCTTCCATCTAAACCCAAGTGACGTTTAGCAGTAGCTAGAAAATTGTTCAACCCAAGTGTGTACTCTTGACTTATGCGATTTCTACTTACTATCCAAGCTCGATCGTTAGAATCTATTGACTTTGAAGGAGAAATTAGGTTGTTCTGAAAAGATTATGTAGAAGTGTTAGATGTAACACTTTTTAAAATTTAAGGAAAGCTTTTAGCTTTATGTTGGGTATCCTGCATAGTAGGTGATTAATTCTTGAATTCATGGTGCTCAAATTATGCATCACTAAAATAATGCATAAATTGATTCTTTCAAATAATTAAATTATAAATATATTGAAGTTTATTTCATATTTCTGATTTCATTATATTCTGAGCATTGGAGGGTGCATGTTGGAGTCCTATATAGGCTAGACTTGGACAAAAATACTTTGTATTTATATTATTATTATCCGAAGGTACATCTATTCATGCCCGAAGTTAGTATGCTGATTTGGTTTGTTTTTGATAGATTTTAGGGCCAAGCATGTTGAAATGGCTGTGTCCAACTGCATTGAGCCATGTTAAAGATGGAACATACATATCAAGATATGGATGCTTAATGCATCTCCAACACCAGAAGAAACTAGCTTCATCAACATTAAGGTACATACAGACTAGGTCTAAGCTTAGAAACTAGGATTTGGTTGAAGCAAGCTCGGACTCCATTGAAGTAAGTGTAATAGACATCTTGGTGTGGCTCAATCGACATGATGCACCGGTGCTATAACAGACCAAACACATCAAACAGTCCTAAAACATATATAATCTAGTGCACATCTTCTGTTACCAAGAGAATTAGCTTGTACTTTGTGGGCTTATGTTTTATATATTTCTCAACACATCTTCTGTTTTATTATCTGTTTTATATATTTCTCAACAGTTTCTCATACTTGTGTTATGGTTTGCTTGGTTCCATATTCTCTGTTTTCAATGTTGGTTTTCATTTACTTCAGCTATTTCACAAGAGATCAGTGATGCCAAATTAATTGTTACGGCAGAATAAACCTACCAATTTAAACACAGGATCAATTCGATTTGTTCATTCATTTGCTGCTTATATGAACATCTTATGCATCATGTTCTGAAATCGTATACAAACACATTATGCCAAACAATGTAAGATTATCAAATGTAAGATACAACAAAAATAGGAACTCTGGTTCTATACACGGAACATAATCGGATAGAATTTGATCATTCAACCAAAGCAGAAAATACTGTGAATATGGCAAACCAGAAGCAACAAATCTCATTTTCAATTTCTTCTTATGTTCAACAAGAACCCTAGCAGATTCATATTATGTTATTTATTGAAGAATCGCTAAATAGACGTACCTGTTGCTGTTGCTCGAGGAATCGATGCAGAGAAGAGAAACCAATTCGATGATAGACGATTGATTCGATCAATCGGAGAATAGACTGTGATTGATGAGAGATTGAGCGAAGATCAATTCGTTGATAGACGAGTGATTGAGCGAAACGATTAGAATGAGAGGAAGCTGAAGTAAGCAATGATCATATATTGTTCGCAAAGAGTAACAGAATCATTGAACAATTAACATACTAAAATGCCTGACATCTGAAAACATTCCAAATTAAATGAATAAAGATTTTATATCCTATGTTAATCCCATTTCATCTATGCTTTTTTGGATTTTTAGTAGGATAGATTTGCATTTTTTGCATATAGTTAGCCTTGTTGCATGCATTTTTTGCATATAGTTAGCCTTGTTGCATGCATTATTAGACGAATAGCTTTTGGTTTGTTTCTTCAACCGTGAGTCGATATCTTTCCTTTGACTGGTTGTGGTTCTTGAAAATCTACTTGATATGATTCCCAAACGCTTCACCATTCTTTCCGCTTCAGATTTGATTATAGAAGTTACAAGTATGGCTTATTTTTTCTGAAGAGGAAATGGAAAGGTAAATACGGTTGCACAAAACAAAACACGGTAGCACCTTTCATGAGACTATAATTTATTACACTACTATACGTTAGAGGAACGAAACAGTTGCCCATGCTATGTATGCTATAGAGTTGGTCCTCCCCATGCGGAGGGGATATGATCTAAATAATTTCAATTGTTTTAAATTAGTTGAATTACCATAAGGTATTTATTTACTGATCCAGATACCTCACCAAATGAAGGGAATGCTTCTTTCATCCACTCACCATGACAAACCTTCAAAACCCACATGAAAAAAGTTCATAAGAATACGAAGAAGATGATGCTGTTATCACTCGTCTCACAGAGTGTATGAAACCAATCCTATTTTTGTTGAGCAAATGCAAGTGTTGCTGCCCACTTCCTGCAATGCAATATTTCAATTTACTTTTTTGAGTGAATTACATTTTTGTCCATAATATTTTTTGTTTTCAAACAAGATTTAAATGTTTAAACTTAATTTCACGTCGTTTACCAAATGTTTACTTGGTAACTTATCTTACCGGATTTAACATAGCCATTGAGAACCAGATATCATGTTTTATAGTCCACTTTACAGCCCAATTTGAGAACCATCAATCTTGTTTTTTTATATACATTTATTTAAATATTGTAATTTATTTAATTATGATATTTTTAAAAATCAAATATGTAATTCAAATTGTAATGATAAAATATTAAACTCATATTACAAGAATTTTTGTTACAATTTTATTTATTTATAATATGTTATTTTATATGATGCATTTTAGAAAATGTCTTGTTTAGTTAGTAACCACTATTTTTGGTGGCTAATTATTTTAAATTGGCGACCACTACTTTTTTTGTTATTAAAACTTTCAACCTAGTGACCATCATTTGTTGTCATTATCATTCATAAATAACACCAACTAGTTAGTGATCATTATTTTGGTCACTAATCATTTCAAAATTGTGACTATTTATTCTTTTGTCACTAAAGCTTTCAACTTTGTGACTACTATTTTTTGTTAACCAACTAGTTACTGACCACTATTTTTGGTCACTAATCATTTCAATTTAGTGACCATTATTTTTGGTCATCAAAACTTCCAACTTCGTGATCAGTATTTTTTGTCATTAACATTCCTAAGTAACACCAACCGTTCAAGTTTATTTTTTGTTACTAAAGTTCATATTAGTGATCCGACAAATTAGTAACGACCTTTCTCATCGTCACTAATATCACAATTAGTGATCAAAATATAAGTAGTCACTAAAATTTTGGTCACTAATGAAGATTTTTCTTATAGTGACGAAGAAGAGGAGTTCTAAGACTTGAATAGTGACTCTAACGACGAAGAACTTGACTTGTCTGATCACTTGTTTTAAATCTTAGTAAACTACTATTCGACATCTGTTATTGTATGGAATCTAACATTGTGTTGTATACTTGAATTATTATTGTATGTTTTCTAACGTTGCTTTGTAGAAAAATCGACAATGTCAAGTACTCGGATTATCGGTCGATGTAGTGGTAGTACACCTCCTAGCCGCGGTATGGGAAGAGCCTCTAGTATTGCTTCGGCGCATCCGGAGGAGCAAGAGTCTAGCCGTGGTAGCGCTGCTCCGAAGCCACTTCCACAGCATTGGATGGTTATTGGCATCCGCAGCAAAAAGTAAATACATTTCTATCTTTTAATTGATAAAAATAATTGTTCTTTGTATTGATGCTAATTAAATTTATTATATAGCTTTAATGACACCAGAGTCATCCGTCGGATCACCAAGATAAACCGAGAGCTGCTTGACGTACCATGAATCACTTGGAAAAAGATCCCTAGGACGTGAGGCGTCGAATGTGGTAGTGGTTTCAGGTTCATAGTATATATTCAACTTGTTATATTTTTGCTATTTTTTCACGTAAGAATTGACTAAACTTATACATATAGTGCTACTACACTTGGGATCCGGCTTTGGATGCCAAGATTCAATAGACATGGGAGAGAAAGACGGCAAAGCCATATAATGACAATTTGAGTGTCGCGAGAAAGAAAGGTGGAGAAAAAGCAAAGAGGAATGGGTATCCTCACTACGACGAAACCGACCACACCGGGATATGAATGCGTTGAAGAACTCCCTCCACCCTAGTTGGATCTCTTCAAATGTGTGAAGCCAGATGGTCGATCGTTGAAACAATGACAATTTGAAGGCTGTTTTTAGGGTGGCGCATGAGAACCGTGATAGCCAAGTTGCGCTACACACCGGTGGATCAATCCCATTTTCAGAGCATGGTGCTCGTCTGGTAGGACCTAAAACCCATCACTTTAGTTGTTTGATTTTTAATATATTACAATTAACACATGTTCGTATTATGTGATCTTTGTAGACACAAGCAAAAGATGGCGTGCCACCGACTGTCGTGGCTTATTCACATAAGAAGAGGCGAGTGGAGAAGCAACATCTTCAGATTCTGGGAGGTACGTGACCTCTATGTGTAGCCGGGGCATGATAAGTATCTATATATTTTAATGTTAATAATTGGGTATGTAACTATTTATATAGTTTTGGTTACCATTAATTGTTGGGAAAATGTTCGAGTCATTTAAATTAAAATCTAAGTGTGATTGTGTGTGTGCATATATATATATATATATATAGATTCGGTTGCCATTTGTTGGGCAAACATTAGGATTGTTTAAGTTAGGATTTCGTATGTATCACTATTTAGTTTAGGTTGTCATTTGTTGGGCAAATGCTAGAATTGTTTTGGCTAGAAATTTCCTATGTATCACTATTTAGTTTAGGTTGTCATTTGTTAGACAAACATTATGATTGTTTTGGCTGGAAACGTGCCATTTATAGTCATCATGAAGTCGAAATTGAATTGTAATCTGTTTTAAACCATATGATGACTATTTAATGAGTCTCACCCAAAGATATGACGATGATCCCTACACTTAGCCCTTAGTTGATACAGAGTTGTGGAGCAAACGGTCGAGGATCCCAATTGGGTCTTGACTGGGAACTCCACACAGGGTGGTCCATCGTCTTCAGATAGCTGGACGTGAATCTCTTTTCCTTTGATGATGTTTATCGATTTAGTTTGTAATTCATATTAAATATTATAATGTTTTCTTAATTTCATAGGAAATTGACGCCTTAAGGACCCAAATTAGAGATTTATAGGAAGAAAACGAGTGCTGACAGGTGGAGGAGGAGTTTCGGCATGCGGATGAGGAGCGACGACGGGTGTTGTATGAGAGACGGGATGAACAATATGAAGAGATGACTATTTTGGCCAAGCTGCTCAGTCAATCTCAGCAGTTCCCACCGCTAAAGTAATGAATATTTGTTTGCTTTGAAACAATTTAGTTTTGTTTGGGATAATTGTGTGCTACTATAGTCAGGATAATTATATTGGTCATTTCTTGTTTTTTAGTTTAATGTATGATGTTTAGTGACATTTCATCTTTTTAGCTTCTTTTTTAATATTTATAGGAAAATTATTTTCTGGAGCTGGGTCATTTTCTGGCGGATAAATTTGCCGGAAATATTTAAATAATAAAAATAATAATTTTTAAAATTAAATAAAATTTCCGGCGGATTAAATTACCATCGGATTTCGGGCAATTCCGCCGGTAATTTAATTCATTTTTTCTTTTAGAATCTTATTAATAATTTCTTAAGTTAATTAAGATTTTTTAAATAAATTAAAAAAAGTTGGCTAACTTACTACGGGCATTTTTTGCTAGAAAACCAAAAATCCGCGGGAAAAAGAATCACCGACGCCTCATTTTACAACGACCATATCCGACATATCACCGAAAAGGTGACCAGTTTGGTAATGACAATGCTATCAAATGTAATTGAATGCATATAAAAATTATTCATAAAAAAATTATAACTATGAATAATTATCAAAATGTCAAATTACCTTTTATTAATTGTACATTACAAAACAAACATTTTTTTGAACATATTTTAAAATATTTTCAAATCCATTATGTTTTTACGCATACATAAAGTATTTAGGATATCTTCAACCTAACAACTAAAAAAATAACACTAAAAACAAAATGATGGGTTCATTGAAAACTAAAATTTATCAACTCCAATCATATACTAAAAGAACACATTAAAAATCATATTTAATATTATGATAATGAACATCTTAATATATTAAACTTTTAATCAATATATATAATATACACGTATCTAATTATAACAACTTAAGATTATATTAATATAGGGGCATACTTTATTACACTCCAAATATATGTCAACATTTTTTTACCTCCATCATTTTAGTATTTTAGTATTGGTTGGAGATGAAAACACATCCATTTTTGTGTTTTTAATGTTGGGTTGAAGATGGTTAACTCTTGCATGCTACGGCAAAACAAGGATCTTTTATTAATCGACAAACAATTAAAGTTAACCGAACAATAAACGTTGGGAATGTTACATAATTGAGGGGAGCTCCTTTTGTGATTTGTCAAAGATACTTGTCTCTTATTTGAGATGTCGTCTCTCATCATTCCGAACTAAATGCAGTTGAGTTTCAAAAAAAGGTCGGCTTG